ATATCTCTATCTTCTATTTTCCTATTGTTATACTGTGATTTTCCCCCTCTATTGTCATTGTCTTATAAAAAGACAAAAAACCAGCTTATTCAACACATTCTAAATATATAGATAGACAATTAATATTTAATGCCCATCATCATCCAATTTACAATTCACTATTCATTATTCATCCACATTTAGCTGACAACAAATAATGCGAAAAAATAACAGTCCTGCATCTTTTTTCCTTCTCATTTTCACATCTGAGCAACCAGCTTCTTCACTTTCTTATGCACTTGGCTCTGGTCATACTGTTTTATCTCTGTCCTTTTGTTCTTTATTTGCGCTTTGCCCGTTCCTTATGGCTATTTTATGGGGTATGGAACTCTGTCTTTTTGTTGTTTGCTTACTGTTTCGCCATTCCTGTTGCCTATTCCATCGCTATCCAAACTTACTTCCCATTTCTTTCTCCATTTACATCTACTTTGCTTCTTTTGCTTCCTTTTTGTCCCCCTTCTTCTTCCCCGTCCCTCTGCTCCTTTAGGCAGCTCCACTTTTCTTCATTGATCTTTGTTTTGTCATTCTTTCCCACACATAAAAAAATTTCCCCTCTGTACTTCTTTCCTTAACTCAGCAGGTGGTTTTGGATAAATTTATATTTTACTCTTGTCAACTATTTTATCTGATATATAATTGACGATATATGCACTGAATAATAATGCCTGACTAATGTTTGTGCCTTTGTGCAGTTACCTATAGTAGGCAGCCAAAAACTGATTACAAATATATAAGTTCATTCATTCGTCATATATTGTTGAAAATATTAAATATCTAAGCCACTCTTACTATATAAAAATATTGCAATACTTATGTATTAGAATCTTTTTTACCCTCTGTTTTACTTATTTACGTTTCCCTTTATTCAATCACTTATTCATTTATACTTCCTTCAAGTCCCTCTCATTTAATCACTCATCTTTTTATTGTCATATCCTTTACCTTCAACTACTAGAACCTAACATGATTTCCTTCTATAATTGTTCTTGCTTTGTAACTTGTTTTACTTAGTATACTCTCCCCTATTTATTTTACTAATTCAATCATCATTTTTTTTTTCCTTCTTCATGTTACTAACTTATTTATTTATTTATTCATTTATTTATTTATTCATTTATGTTTTGCCAGATTCTTTATTCCCTTCTCTATGTTGTTTATAAATTTTGTACAGCTACATTTTATTATAAGACCTGTTTAATCTGTTTGTTCATTTATAAAGGAAGCTGAGAATATGCAGATTTATAGATCAGTTTATTTATTTACATATTTTTTGTTCATTAATCCAATGTACTCACCATTATTATTGTATTAATTCACTTTGTTTGTAATTATGTTTGGCTATGTAACATTTTTCATTCTTATACATATTCTAATACTATTTGCTTTATCCAAATATATAAAAATATCAACATACAGGGATATAGCCACAAATTTGTTCTTTTATGTGTTCTTTAGTAATACATTTAACTGATAAATTACCATTATCTTATTAATTCTCTTTATAAAATATTGCTAGATGGCTTAATTCTAGAATGAACTATAACTATAATTTAATTTTAGAACGAATTATAAATGTAGTTACACAAAGTCTATACAAGATTACAACAAAACACTGTACAAAGTAAATAAATATTTACAAATTACAATAATAGAATTTAATTTGAAGCAGAATGATCGTCTTGAAAATTAAAAGTTAATTTATTAAATTCGTCATCCATTACTGGCTTGCCGATGAAATTGTATCATGTAAGCGTTGGTCGGAACGATCCCAATCCTTGATGTACACCAAAATTTCAACAATATTCTGTTGCAATGCGTTTCTCTGTTCTTTAAGTATTCGGCCGGTTATACTGAATGTTTGTTCGACTGCAACAGTGGAGACTGGGATCGAAAAAATATCCATTGCCAGTCGAGTTAGGATCGGTCAAGTTAATGCCCGTGCCCTCCACCACTGAACCAAATCAAACATTTCACTATTATCTACAACTATGCCCTCACTCAGGTACGCCATTAACTCGTTGAAGCCGTCGTTGTTGCCGCCACCTCTTAATGAAGATCCACTCTTAAATTCTTCTTGACCTTGACTCGTTGTCGTCATCTTCTTCTTCTTCTTAGACATCCCGAAAACATTCAAGAATAAATGCGGATTGTCGTCTCGTTGTTACGGTTGTTCTACACAAGGTGTGTTTTTAAACCTACTTTCATAAGAGCTATAGAGATAATATTTTTTCCTTTACAATAGGAAATTGGTCAGTAGTGTCGATATCTAAAAAGTCACATAAGTTATCTAATCCACTTTTTAAACCATATCATTTTAATCTAGGGCCGAAAATAACACCGAAACCATACAACATTGGTAATTTAGATCAATATTTTTTAAACTTCTTCTCCATAGAAGCGATAGGAAGTCATAAAACCTCGTGTGTCTTAAATTCACTAAATAAAATAAACATTCTTAAAAGTTCTCCTAACACTAATGGTGACGTTGGGTAATAAGTTCCACTAAGCTTTAAAGTAACTTCGTGAAATCTACCTAAAAAATTAAAACAAGAGTTCGGCAATTTGTCAATCAGTTTCATCTATAAATCCTGGTCCTAACAACCTGCATTAGCACTTCACTAGCACTAGCACTTCCGCTTGCCTATCCTCCACGCCCACCACCATTACGTCCACGACATCTGGTACGTCCACCAAGGCTCGGATTTACAGTTTCCTCAGCAACTCTTTCTGTAGTTTGCGATTCCTGCGTTTGAAAAACATTAAGAAATTGTCCTTCTTCGATGTTGAATTGGGCATTGATTAGTGCATGAAAATGCACCATAAATACTGCTTTTGATTTATAAAATATTAAAATATTTAAGCTTTAATTAAATAATTCTATTATTTTAATTCATAATATTTTTAATTGGAATTTGTCTAGTTTTTACGTAATTATTTACAGATAAAAAGCAGTGGAGAAACTACACAAGAAAAGCCATGAAAGCCATATTTTCAGCCAATCCGAGCCACATAAGCCGAGCCAATCAGAGAGAGCCACGCCTTCCTTCAGCCAAGCTGATTTCCGCGTTCCCCACTCCAATTCGTGCGTGTCACCTACACGTAGGACTCGCAGGAAGCACGTCTCATGCACGCGCGATCTCCAGCGCGTTCCAAACCAAGCTCCCGTAGGTCCCGCGCCTACTCAGTGCCAGCTAACCGCCCATTCTGCATGCGCCACGTGTCTCAGTGGGACCCCATCTATCGGCCAGCATCACCTCCACTCTGACCGCGCTAGCACACGCCAACCACTCCGAGCGTGACACATGGCGAATTGACTCCATCCTTCCAATTGCGTTGTGACACGTGTCCCCTTAGTGCTGAATCTGAAATTTTTTTCCCAAAAATCAGAGCAAATTACCGGATTCCTTCCCCAAATTAAATATATAATTTCTCTTAATTTATGTGTAATTTTATTTTGTTTCATTTTTCTTTATAATTTTCTATTTTTATTGTTTGTTTCCTTATTTGACAGGCAACCTCTAAACACTATAAATAAGGGGGTTAGCCTAAGGTTTTAGAGGGCTTTTAATATTCAGTTTTCTGTCGTCTTGCTGTCAGTTTCATATTTTCTCTCTAGAACTTGTGAGAATGTTTTGCAAGCTAGGCTAGAGTTCTTTTGGTGAGGTTAGAGATGAACTTTTGTGAGTGACCCAATTCGGGTTTTTGATTCATTGTGCTGTAAACTTCAACATCCGAATGAATTAAATCTCATCTATTTTTCTTTTACTTTTCAAAATATTGTGTGCTAATTTTTATATAAGTTCAGTCACTCTTTTGTTACGTAATTTTGTCACGCATTGTTTTGTTATGCAAATTATTTTACAAATTGTCTTTTACTGTAATATTGTCAATTTGATATATTGTCGATTTTGGATAACTTGTAATAATAATATTTTCAGAGACAATATAGAGATTTAATTTATTCGATCATTTTATTTTGTGAATCAAAACTTGAATTGGTGAACGAAACATTAGGGATTCTCGACACCTTACCGCTTTTATTACTGAATTTCTTCCACACAAATCTTATCTTATCTTTATTTGCAACAAAGTCTACAAAAACTCTTTTTTTTCATTTATTCACTTGTTATTTATTTTTCTCTAACGCTCTTATTTTGTTAATCTTTCTTGTTATTTTGTTATCTTTCTGTGGATACGACCGCCCTTCTGTGCTTCAATTAACCGCTTGTGAACATCACTTTTGGGCGTTAATCAAATTTTGGCGCCGTTGCCGGGGACTATTCATTGAGCCAAGAGCTATAGTTTTTCCTGGGAGCACTCTCGGTGGTTACAATTTACGTTACTATATAGTTATTTTCTTTTGCTTTGATTAAAAATAATAAAAAAACAAAAAAAATTAAAAAAAAATTAAAAAATTAAAAAAAAGCCACTTTGGGTGAATGCATCGGTATGGAGATGAGCTAGGGAGATTTGCTCAACGTCCAGACCTAGAAACCCCTAGTGAAATTTTATCCGACTCGTCTTCTACGCCTTCGTCTTCACACTCGTCGTTGGAATTCACATTTGAAAATCTATTCGCAATGGCACAACACGAGGAAGTTCAACAGAGGATGTTGCAAGATTACCTACACCCAATGCGAACTGTCACCCCATCTTGCATCATGTTCCCACCGAATGCACCACCTACGCATTTCAAGCCGGGCATGATTGCACTTATCCCAACTTTTTACGGGTTAAAGAACGAAAACCCATATGTACACATTCGGGAGTTTGAAGAGGTGGTGGCCACCTTTCACAGCCGTGCTGAGGCCGCAAACACCGTCAGATGGAAGTTTTTCCCTTTCTCTTTGAAGGACAAGGCCAAAAGCTGGCTATATTCTATTAGGCCCAAGTCTATTGGTACGTGGGAAGAAATGACGACAACATTCTTTAACAAGTATTTCCCACACCACAAGACCAACAATTTGAAATGACAGATCTCGAATTTTACTCAAAAGGAAATGAAACTCTCTATAAAGCTTGGGAGCATTTTAAAGATCTGTTAAATCTGTGTTCCCACCATGGATATGAAAGTTGGCGCCTCGTAAGCTATTTCTACGATGGACTCACAATCCGAGAGCGCCAATTTATTGAGATGATGTGCAATGAATGCGCAGTTCTTCTTATAGGTAGTAATAATGATGCAATTTCGGAAGATGCAACGGCAAAAATTATTTCATTATTTGATCTGACTTTTGTGATTATTGCATTCTAAAGATATGTTTTTCATTTCCGCCGTGGCCATAAATGAAAAAGAGATTATCTCTTCCACAATGTAATGATTCTAAAATTTGTTGGTAAATAAGTTGTTGTTGATTATTTAAATTTTGTACTAATTTAGTGTTTTCTTCTTTTAATTTATTTATGTCATGATTAAGTTATTCTCTTAAAAGTTTATTGTTTAGGTCCTCCATTAGTGATCCAGTAGGAAGGGGTAAATTAAAATGTGTTAAACTCGATGAGTTTATATTTAATAATTTTTCTAATTCATAAAATACAAAATTACATAGTTCGATTTCAGGTATTTGAAAGTTTAGATTATTAAATAGGACTTTGATTTTGTATAAGATATCATCTGTCATAAGTTTTCAATGTGTGTCAAGTAATTTTTTTGGATTATTTACGTTACAAAATAATAAAATAATGATTGATAAAACCGTCGTAATTGGGTTGCTATTGACCATAATAAGGCTTCTAATATGGATTCATCCCATTATTTGTCATCTCATAATAAGCCTAGTGCGTAACATGCTGCTTGAGTATGTTGTATTTTCAATTGTTTGAAGAGCTCCATAACTTGTTTTTGCTCTTTGATGGTTTAGTAATAATTTTAGATAGTACAATTCTCCGGAGCTTGGATGGACGTGGAAAGTACGCCCAATTGTATGTCTTGTTTGTCTAGGGGACCAATATATATTTTTTATTTCAAACATATTTAGTGGAAATTTTGTATAAGTTAGCTATCTAGCATCAATATCACGTTTATTTATTTCCATCCATTCAGTGAAAGTTGTTTTGTCAATACATGGTTGCCTTATTATATTATTTGGGTGCTGATTTGAGTGAAATGTTATATTTTATATTTTTGGTAAATGTATTGAAAGTCTTTGGACAGCCGGGTTTCTATGATGTATTGAGAATTCATATAGTTGCCACATTGCCTTGTATGGTGTTATATATCTACAATTAATATAATTTTTTATTTCATCTATTTGTTGGTATGTAGCTTCTCTTGTATTTTCTATACATATATTGTCTTCTATAACTGCTCTTATTCTATCTGGTCATTTTGTTAGGTATTTAAATAAATATTTTATAAGCATAGATTGTGAACAAACTTCTACATTGATATGGGCATGAAATTTTAAACATAGGTCTTTATTGTAAGGAACCACAAATCTATTATCTAATTTAATATTTTCTTTTTCTACATAAAAAGTTGTATTTCTGCGTCTATAATTGAGAAGTCCATTTTCCTCAATTGTTGTTTCATTTATTAATTATTTTGGGAATTTTTTTGAACATTTTGAATTTTTTATACATGGAGAGTTTATTTTAGCTATGTCACATGGTCCATGTATCATAAATTCAGCTACGATATTATACTCTAATGAATTGTGGTTAGGATCAGGTATTTCTGCAGAAATGAATTTGTCTATTTGTGATGGTTCGCGTAGTTTTTCATCGTGATGCAGCCAAAACAGGAAATGACAATGTGGCAGACCTCGTTTTTAAAATTTCACAACATATAAATCAAGAAAATTAAAAATAAATTTACTTTAATTTTTATTTATCATAAGAAATAATAGGTAATTTTTATTTCCTATTGATAAAGAAAAATAAAGTTTAAGAAGGTAAGCAAACCTGCTATAATTGTTCCAAATATTTTTTCATCTTTGATGACGAATAAAACATGTTCTAATTTCATTTTAAAAATTCTTGTAATAATATATGGTTTATCTTCAGGTCTTTGTCCATGCATTTTTGTTAGAGCTCTAGTAATCTCAGGCCATTTCGGATTGCATGTAAATGTTATGAATAATTTTAGATTTTGATAATGCCTACAAATTGACATTGCATCTTGATAATTTTGAATCATATATCTAGGGCTTCCAGTATGACTGGAAGGAAGAATAATTCTTTTTCCTATTGCTTGTGCATTGGTATCTCCTCTAATAATAGCATCTTGAATTCCTTGATAAATTTTAGACCATAAATTTTTTTTTTATTTTTTCTGATATAATCTAAACGATCTTCTTCTACAAAAGTATATGCACCAACTACATATTGCTAGAATAGTCTACCAGTCCGAAAAAGAGTATTGCCTTGTATTTTGCATTCTTGTAGTTGATAGCAATAGAATTCTCTCATGGAAATTCTTTTTCTTGTGGATTTGTTGGTTGGACTCTTTATATTATATTTTAAATCTATTCTGTAAGTATCTTTCTCGTAAGGAAATAATAAAGGATATTGAAGAGCCATGTAACATAGATGTAAATTTGTAATTCTTTCTAAATTATTTATTCTATCTTGGATTATAATGTCTCTTCCTTGTTCGTATTCACCAATGTCTCCAACTATTAGACCACCAATGTCGTCTGAGGCAGGTAATTCATACCGGTTGCTATCTGTGTTTCTTCGTCATGTAAGTCTCAGTTTCATGTTGTTGATATCTATCTCTTATCATTCGAAAACGTTTGACTAATTTGTTTGTATTATTAAGCATTTTGATCAAATTTTTAGTTATAAATTGAATTAAAGTTTTATATTGATCATCAATTGAGAATGATGTTGCTATTCGATTTTCAATTTCGCTTTTTGTGTCATAGACATAAAGTTGTGCAAATTTTGGATGGTTATTATCTATTAGTAATAAAGATCCTATGAGATGATGTATTTGTCCGCTTATTTTAAAAATGTATGGACCATCTGAGTTTCTTGTACTGACTTCGATATTAGCTCTAAATGATATAAAGGCAAACATGGAGTTATATGTTCGAACATTTTTTTTAAAGTGTGTATTGATTAATCATCCATGATAATCAAGTAATTTATCTAATATAAGAGTTTGTTTAATGAAGAGTAAAGTTATTTTTCTATCTCTACAACAAAAATTTTATTTAATTTGCTTGTTACTTTTGATTCGTTCATTGAGCCAAAATAAAGAACCACAATAACGATAGGTACAAGAACAGTCTCCAAGGTCAATGTATGAATTGTAATGCCTAAAAAGGTAGGACAAAGAAAATGATAAAAATAACATATGGCAAATTAGTATTGTTGCCATGTGAAGGTTTTATAATGATTGGAACACAGTAATTAATACAGTGAAGAAATTACGTTGACTGTGATTTTCAACTGTTGAGGAAGAGGATGATTCAGGGATTTCTTTTTGGGACTGAAGGTGTGTCAGCATCATATCAAGTCTAGACTGAGATGGTCTTGTCGATGCGCATTCCACAATTTGGTTTGTTTGATTTCGACTCTCATCATGTGTATCAACGAGGTCTGGGTTTGTTTGGAAAATAGTGCGATGTATGTATTGATTTCGTCTTCTTGATTTTTTTTGGAATTTTTTTCCTATTCATGTGCTTTTGTAATGTCAAAGTATTTGAGATCTAAAACAAAAAAGGAATATAATTAATTGATGTATTTATTATTAACTATACTACATTAGAAATGGTTAGAAATATTAAAGGCAATAATTCTATAATAACAAATTTATTATACATATTTCAAAGAAAAAAATACACAATCCAGAGTGCCAGATTGGAGACTTTACTTATATATATATATAATAATAATAATATATAAATATATAATATAAAAAATATTTAAAAATTCGGGCAACTCGGTCGGGCTCAGGCAGCCCGACCGGGCACGGACAGCCCGACCGGGCACGGGTAGCTAAAGGCTGCCCGAAACCCGTCCAAGTAGTTTTTTGGGTCAGGTCGGGCAACCTAAAAATTCGGGCAGGCCAGACTCGGTTATCGGGTAAAAATTCAGAATTTTCGGTGGTCGTGGACGGCCCATCCAAAGTTTCAGCACTAGTCGTATATATGCTAAGTCAGACTGACTTTTTTAATTCTCTTGTTTGATTTTATTGCTTTTTTTTTTTTAGATTACTTGCTAAAAAAGTTGTTGAAATGCATATGTATATATATCTTCTATCTACATTGAAACATTTATATATTTTTTGAAATAGTGCTTGCGATTACTAGAATTAATTCAGTGCGTATGGTTGCCCTTTTGACATATATTTTGCCCATTTCATTGATGGTTATTAGAATCTCATTGGAGATATTGACATGATCCACTTAATAAGGTGATGGTAATTCTCTCCTAACAAGTCGATTTTATTAGGTTGAGTTAGGCCCAATATTCTTTGATTTCTGTAAAATGGTATCAGAGCAGACCCAATTTTGTAATGTTGGGTCCCCCAATATTAACTTATTCGCAACGGTTTGGCATGGTCCACACTGTGCGTGAGGGAACGTATTAGAATCCCACATTGGCTTAAGATATTGGCATGATCCACTTAATAAAGTGAGGGCAATCATCTCCTAACAAGCCGATTTTGTTAGGTTGGGTTAGGCCCAATATCTTTTGATTTCTGTAAAAGTGGTGGAGGAGAACTGGACCGAACAAGAGGAGGATTATGTGCGCGCTATCAGAGGATTAAACACTGCTTAAAAATTACTTGATCACCTTCTGAATCCAAATAATCCAAATATGATGTAGAAAAGTGGTCTATGCATGGTTACAAGAATATTTGCGTTTGAAAGAGTGAAAGAAAGAAAGGCGTCTAGGTAGGGTTTTTTTTATTTTTTTATGTTTTTATGTTTTATTTTTTTAAAACTTTTCATAATCATCTAGAAAGTTGACTGATATATAAGAGTTTAGGTTCTTTGTTTAAGTGTGGAGCGTACATGTTTAGGTGAAAATGAATGAAAGTGGATGGTTAATATCACCTGACAAGTAATTGCTTCGCAAATTCATTTTCTTGTCAATCCACCGTTTTTTGGCCC